CTAATTTTAAATTTAAAAGATCCACTGCGTTAGCAGATAATATTGAGTTGTGTACCATATCAGCATTGGTAACCTGTTAATGCTTAAATTGGTTACTTATATACTTAAATATTTGAAACTTAACATCTTAGATAACAAAACAAAAGTTCTAAAAATACATTACCTAAAATAAGAATCAAGACAAAACATGTTATTTTTTTCATAAAAATTGTCCAAAACCAATATATCATATTGTATTTTATATGTTTTTTTTTTTATGTACAGTGATTAACATATATTTTTAATTAATTTTAGAGCTATATTTTTTAATCAAATTAAATAATCTTATAAATGTAAACCCTTTTTATGTCCTTTATTAGTTTTTTTTAAATAAAATATTTAAGGCATTATTTTCATTAAATAATTGGCCATAACTCATTCTTTTATTTTTTCTATCCGGTTATTATTCTTGTTTGTATATCTCAGGAGCTGTTTACCAAATGCTTACCTGGGTAAGCGCTTACTAAATCACATTACCTTACCGGATGATTATGACAAAGAATAAGAATCTTACCCGGTAAAAGTGAAAACAAGGACCGGCAATCTTACCTGGTAAGTGATGGCGACGACTTTTACCATGGTTAACACTTACCGGGTAAATTGTTACATACAATATCATTTTGGTGGACTCAAATCTTACCCGGTAAGTAACGATAGTGTTGAATTTTATCGATAAGCATTTACCGGGTAAGTGTTTAGGTAAACGGCCTCTAGCTCTCTCTCTATATACACGCATGTATGTCATTGTTTACATATGTAAGGCCGAGTTTAAATAAGAACCATAAATATTTTGAGAAATTGAAAAACAATTGTTTCATGTATTATTAATAATGAATAACTTTAAATAATGAATAATTATTCATTATAAAAAAATAACTAACAAAATAAAATGCATTATAACATGAACAATAAAAATACTTAAGAAATAAAGTTTATGATTATTTAAGCTGAATTGGGATCATGTGAGACAAGACTATTTTCGTGAAATATGATTTTTACATTTGAAACTTTACAGCAAAACACTGTAAAAGTAGCATTCACAGTGTTTTTATTATGAAGATTCGGCTTATTTTAAGATTTTTTAATTATCAATATTTAAGAGAAAAATATATAAATATACATAAAATCATGAGTAAATTAAAAAAAAACTAAGGGTGCGTTTGGTTTGCAGGAATGTTTTTGAGGGATTTGGATTCCCATGAGGGATTTGGATTGGATTGGATTTAAAATCCATCATGTGTTTGGTTTGCAGGATTTGGATTGGATTTGAAATTCATTCCTCTGTTTGGTTTGTAGGATTTGGATTTGGATTTGGATTTGGATTTGGATTGAGATTTTTTTTTGAAGGGTGAAACTAGGCTTATTCCGATCATATCAATTTGCCTTTGCTTATTCCGATCATATCAAGAAGTCCAGAATCTTCGAAGGCAACTACAGCAAGCTATTGATGAAAAAAATGAATTCGAGGTCTGTACAGACTTATTCCGATCACCTTCTAATACTTCCTGTAATTTTTTTAACCTAATCTGTATTCATGTATATTCAACCTAATCTGTCAAAATTGAAGGATTTAACCTAATCTGTGTTCATGTATATTCAACCTAATCTGTCAAAATTGAAGGATTTAACCTAATCTGTGTTCATAGTTTAGTGAGAAATCGAAAAGGGGAAAAGGGGAAAAGGGATTTACCTGTTGAGTGATGGGAGAAGGCGGTTTATCGACGACGACGGAGACGGCGACGGAGACGGTGGGCGACGGAGACGGTGAGTGACGACCACCGACGGAGGTGGCAACAGAGACGAAGGGCGACGGCGACGGTGAGCAATGGAGGAGCGATGTAATCTGTGGCGACGGTGAGCAATGGACGAGAAGGGCAAGAATGAAATCCCACGGGAATGAATTTCAAAATCTCGTGTATTTTCAAAGGATTCTCAAATCCATAGTTCACGGGATTTTAAATGAATCCCAGGATTTTAAATCCTACCATTCCTACAAACCAAACGCAGGATTGGAATGGATTTTAAATCCAAATCCCTCCAATTCCATTCCATTCCTGCAAACCAAACGCGCCCTAAGAAATTTGAGGGGCATTTTAAATCTTTTGTATAATTAAATCACCAATTCACTCATTTTTTAAAATATTTATCCACTTTCTTTTTTAATAAAAATTATATTACCTATTTTCTTTTAAATTAAATTATCTAAAATATAAGAAATATTTTATTTAAATAAATTATACTAAAAAAGAGAGAATTTTATTTTCCATAATTTAAAATCTAGGATGATATATATTTTTTAAGATTCATATATGAATCTTAAACTGGTTCAATATCTCATTTATACATTGTAAATTGATTCATGTAACAGTTATAATTATGAGCCACATGTGAATACATATTATGATTCACATGTGAATCTATGTTAGAATTCGCATATTCACATATAGCCAATTGATACCTATTCATTACCATCTGATAATGATTTGTTGGGATCATTTGCGTTTGCTTACATTTCAATCGATCAATGAAGAACATTTTCCTCCAACAGATGCGGGTGAATTAGCTGCCTCGTGTTCAGATATGAGATTTAATTCGATTTGTAGTTTGTAAAATCGCCAATCACTTTATAATGAGAAATTGAATAAAAGACGATGATTACCAATATCAAAAAAATATGTTATAGAAAAAATAATAGATAAATTAGCTAATATTTGATTTTCTTTTTCATTGTTATTTTAATTAGTAAAAAAAAAAGACTTGGAAATAAAAAAAATTGCACTAATTGAGATTTCTTCTTCTATTCTTAAAATTTTGAGACTTCTCATTTGAACATCTGTCTATATATGTGCATATATGTAGGCAAACGAAGAATCATGTGAGAATGATAGTTAAAGTGAAAAACGTAAAAAATGATATGCACCCTTGATCACCTTTAATCTCAAACCCACCCATGAAGCACGCTCGATGTGGGGATTGATCCGGTATATCTTGGTGCATCTCATCTCGTTGTATTCTAATGTACATTCAAGAGTGAAGATCTTTTCTTACGCTTCTCATCTTAACTAGGGGTAGTGATGGCCAAACCTACCTGTCCCGGCCCCGCCCGGGACCGGTTACGGATTTGGGGTGTTTCGCGGGACCAAAACCGACCGGGACCGGTTATGGACCGGCCCGACCCAACTCGATTTTTAAAAAATGTAACTATTTTTTTTTTGTAAATGAGTTGAACACGAACCTAACCCAACCTAACCCAATGTTACCCTTAATCTTAATTATTTTCTCACAGTTACTCAATCCTATATAGGTATAGGTATATTTATGTGTATATAAATAATAAATGAGATACAAATACGTGGATTGTAGGTAGCAGATTGCCCATCCTTTTTAAGGGGAAAGTAAATGAGAGTAATTACTCAACTACCAAACCGTCACAGTAATTTATTGTTATGGACAATGCATCCTTGTAAAATTTGTCTACAACATACATATTTTTTTTTGAATTATATTATACTAGTTATATACTCGTACAATGCGATGAGAACCGATTATGAAGTCTCACCAGTTTTATTAGAGAAGATTTAACGATGATATAAATTATATTTGGTCTTTATATATTAATACAATTTGAATAAATAAGAGTTATGGTTCCAATTACAGTCTATCGATGAAAAAAATGTATGACAGTTTAAAATCCAACATATTTAAACGACTCCACAAATGTGTTCGATTTACACCAAGAGCAAAGAATCAAGAGATCAAGAGAGAAACCGAGAGTTCTAGAACAATTGAATGAGAGATGAATGATAGAACTTTTAATAACTCATGGTGAACATCAGTTTAAATCTCACATTGAGGGATGAGGAGAAGACATAGAGGTATGAGAGGGTGAAGACACGAGTGAAATGTGTCAAAAGTATCTTGGAAACATGAAAAGAAAAGATAATAATGTGCATTGGTAACTTGTACTATAAGTTATTTTAATTGTAAATTAAAAGATTATAAGATTGAATGCATAAAGTAGTAGTACTTAATGCATTATGAGTTATTTTTAAGACTTTTAATACTTTGTGCATAAATGTATAATACTTTGGCAATTAAAAATTGTTTTTAAGATTTTTGATAAATCTGATTTATAAGGTAGTATAGATGAAATATGGCTGATAATTATTCAAATAGTATTTTATTACATTCGTTAATCAATAATTATATATACTAATATATATATATATATATATTTTAGTATAATGTTTGTAACAAAATAACATGTTATCTGAACGAGAGTAATTACTCAACTGTTACTTGCKATAGTGGACTGATGGTAGTACATTTTCGATGCTTTTTCTAACACGTTACTTCAATTTTTGATTTGTATCTTATGAACTAAAAATTGTATATGTACTGAATCTAACATACAAAATCACCAAATCTAACTCATGAATTACATGATGAAAATATCGTGAGTCGAACAAAATCATGCTATAATACCTCATACATTGCATGTTAAAAGTCAAAAATTCTATCGAATTACCATCGTTCTACCATTCAAAAGAGGGTTTACCTATAAACATTACCACAAGGGACATATATCATATATGTGTAATATAGACTTGTACCTTATGTATTAAGAGTTGTACATCACATTGTACCAAATTATTATTTTTTTGATTAACCTGGATATCCAACCCGCTATGCGAGCCGACTAATCGCAGGGCGACCACCTGCTTTGCAGATAGCCCAGAGTCACCGCATTTGAACCTCCGTGGCCACAAGAGGATTTTTATTCCTCTTTGGATTTGAACCTGGGACCTCCTGGTACTTTTAGCCTTCGGAGCCAAACTCAAACCAATCAGACACCACCATTGTGGTTCATTGTACCAAATTATTCCAATACCCAAAAAAGGGTTTACCCCCAAAAAGGCAAATATGTAAGAAAGTGAGAGCCACTTGTATAAAAAGGCAAGATGTCATATTTATTTCTTGAATTCAAGTCTCAAAAACACCAAAGAAAAGCTATGGCTTCTTGTCATAAGATGTTAGTAGTGTTGATCTTCTTGTTGGCAATGGAAAAACCATTTGGTGTTGAAGATAAGGTGAAGGTGTCATTGTACTTTGAATCTTTGTGTCCATATTGTGCAAATTTCATTGTGAATCAACTTGGGAAGGCATTGTTTCAATGGAATCTAATCTCCATTGTAGACCTCAAGATGGTCCCTTGGGGTAATACTCAGTTTGCTCCTAACCATGCTTGGATCTGTCAGGTAAAATACAATTTTTACTGTATAAAATACAGTTATCTTGTTAATGTTGATCTGGGTTTTCAGTTATTGTCTTGGGAACTGGTTTCTCTTTCCAAATTTTTGGTGTGATGTTCGTTGTTCATGTTTTTATTTCACGAAAGAATCTTGAAAACGACGTGTTTCTATTATCGTGTCAGAATACTTATTTTTCTTGTACATCATGTACGTTTCTTACTAAATCGTTTATCGTTGTAACTAATCAGATAAAATAGATAAATATATCATACGCCTTTTCAACAATTAACCTGTTTTGTAGCACGGTCCTGATGAATGTATGATCAACATGGTAGAAGCTTGTGCGATTAACTTGTTGCCTCAAACGGTACAGTTATCGTTTAGTTCGTTGATTACATTACGGCCAATTAAGGTGTATCTGATATTTAATTAATAATTAAACATTTATATGATATTTTGAATAGGAATTGAGGTTCAAGTTGATTGAGTGTATTGAAAACTTGGATTTGCAAGGAAGGCATAGTGAATGGAGGTCTTGTATTCAAAACAACCCCAAACCCATCATGGATTGCTACCAAAGTAGAATGGGTGTTGATGTGAGTACTTCTATTTCCATCCTTCATCCTCTTACTTTTACATTTTAACATATTTATTTTCCAACATTTAAAAAAAGGTACTAGTGTGGGTCCTACAAAACTATTTAAAAAGATTCCTATAAATTTAGCAGCAGATTAAATGTACCCTTATATATTGTTAAATGCATCTTTTTCAATTAGTTTTCTACCCAAACATATCAACATCAGAACTCATCTTCTACAACCATAATGATATTGTCTGATTGGTTTGAATTTGGCTCCAAAGGTCAAAAGTGTCTGGAGGTCTCATGTTCAAATCCAAGGAGAAATAAAAAGCCCCTTGTGGCACGGAGGTTCAAATGCAGTGACTTTGGGCTACCCGCAAAACATGTGGTTGTTTTTGGGATTAGTCGACTTGCATAGCGGGTTAGATATCCAGGTTAATAAAAAAAATAAGTAGTTGAATTAGGCAAACTAAAGCTAATATTAAATTATCTTACTTTATAGCCATATTTTCAATATTGTGACCGAAATAGCCATAGATTACACAAGTAACAAATAATGCTTAAACAACTTGCGTAACCTACTTTTTTCATATTATATTCTTAAAAGTAGACATTACGTCGGGTGTAACCCACATAGACATGACACCTAAAAAATATGGCTGTAAAATGAAGAGGGAAGATCTGATCGGTTATTTTGAAAGATTTCTGTAAAAAATCTTGATAAATAACCCAAACCGACTTAACATGTGTTTTATCATTCATGAAAAATTATTGGTTTTAACCATATCTCCTATTTTAATCCACAATGTGACCCTTCGTTTAACCCTTATCTTATGACAATATGATTCATGTTTTGACTTAATGCAGCTTGAACTAAAATTTGCTGATGATACAAATCATCTAAATCCCCCTCATAGATTTGTACCATGGGTGTTGGTTGACAATAAGCCCCTTGAAGAGGTCATCTCTCTCCCTCTCTTACATTTAAATCTAGATCGTTTATTTTTAGATCTAACTATCGACAAGGGTATCTTTGTCTTTTTACTTCTTTTCATTAAACCTTCATCTCGCTATACATATAATTAAAGGTGAAACCTTGTTAATTAATACTTGGTTATTTAATAATCTATCTTAGATCATATTTTTGGTTGGTTTCGACTTAGGATAATGTATCAAATTAATAATTCGCTAAATTATAAGATGAAAACCCCATTAATGGCTTATTAAATCCAACCCCCCC